GTGAATTTGGTCTTAAATTTTTATTTCAAGTGGCATTAAAAAGTCTTGAATTTAACCTGCCTTATGCTGTAGGAACCCTGAAAATGTACCCATAACTTATCCAACGTATGACGTCTAAATAATTTCCTAAATAATTTAATCAGATTCATCAGAGGTAAGATTATAAAAGCCACTGCTACTGTGGTTTAAGGCTGTTATTTATTTACCCTTGGTGTTAATAAGCCTTGATTATGTTTTTTAATCTCTGTTTTTAAATGAACTTTTTTATAACTACTTAAAAATTTGAAAGGATGTTTTTTTTTGTCTGGATCACAGAGCTTCAATGTTCTACTTTAAATGAAAGCTGTTCCTGTGGTTATCTAGAGGTTAACAGAAGTGGCCTTATATGGTTAAACATCAGGAGATCCTTTTTTTTTTAAGAGTGAATCAGCACTTATCAAATATCAGTTATGTTTCATTGTAAAACGTTTTGAACAGGTTTCTAATTTCACATAAAGCTCATCGGTCAGATTGGATGTTGCTGAGCCCAGTCTGACCACCTGGTTATCACCCATAGATTCTTATTCTTCCCATCTTTGTGCAGATCCCTGGAGCTGAGCATGCAAAGTACAAAAGCTCAGCTCACTGTATCAGTCAGGGAACAGAACAGGCAGGTTTAGCACCACTCTCATAAAGAAAGAGCTTGACATAACAATGATTCTCTGCAGTTTTTTCGCCCAAGGGGAGATACCGACATGCGTGCGGCTCTCTTACATTTCCATTGAAGGTTTTTGGCAGCACGGCCTCTGGAGATGATCAGAGGAAAGGTTAGAGGGAGAAGAAAGATGACAAAGATGTTAAAATGAGGAGAAAATAAGAGGAAAGAGGAATGATAATGGAGGAAGGTAGGAAGACAACAAAGTGAAGGAAGCCCAGGAGAGCTTTGGAAATTAAGAAATAAAGCCAAAAGAGAACGATAGTGGCCGAGGGCAAAGAAAATAGACCTTTGGAGATACTGAATCAAACCTTTTATTGTATTTTTTGGGTTCAAAGTAACTCTGGAAAGTTCAATATTTTGCAAAGACAAAAAGCTTGAAGGTACAAAATATAAAGTAGGGGTTTGGTGATGAGAGAGAGAGAGCTCCCTGATTAATATCAAACAGTTAGGATGTGGATTGGTGGTGGAACCCAACAAAGGGAGAGATTGGATGAAAGCCATGGGAGGATGAAAATAGGGCAGAGAGGTAACTGGGTTAGTTAGAATGAAATGAGTCATATATATACAGACCCGTTCATTAAATTAGAGTATTATTGAAAAGTTCATTTATTTCAAGAACTTAATTCACTAAGTAAAACACATTATATGGATTAATTACACACAGTCTGATGTTTTCAAGGCTTTTTGAAATGGTAATTATGATGATTTTCCGCTTATGGCTAATGAATCATAATCAGCTCTTTTCACAGAGGTTTTGCACACAAACAAGGAATTCCACTTCCCCTTGATCTCTATGATGACATTTCAAAAATAAATTTTTTTTTTTTTCCCTCCCGCAAAATAGAACGGCATGGTTGGATATAAGGGTTATCAATGTGATCGCTCTGTTTTTCAGTCACAGCTTGATTAAGAAAGAGAATAATAAACACATTTAAGATTAAAATATTACATTAGACCAAAAAATACAACGAGTGCCTAAAAAAAAAGGATTTTAACTGCTTAGAGGTTGTTTTCAGGAACATCTCTAGCAGAGGAGATGCACAAAATCAACTTTTTATTATTTTTTTATTTTTTTTAGCTCTTAACCCTTTAAAGCCCGATCCAAGAATAAAACAAAACAGAAAATAACTTTTTTTTTTTTTTGGTTTGAAGTCCTTATTTGGCCTTTTAACAAAATATGTAAAAAGAAAAAACAGAAATACATTTTTGATATTAATAATGTATCAAGTCAAGTACAATAGGATTTTGAGCAAAGTTTTTACCATTAAATTATGCAAAAGGTGTCAGATGCAAAACATTTCAGAAACCGTATGTATCAAATATGATACATTTGGCATTACAGGGTTAAATACATTTTGTTGCGTACTTGAAGTCTTTAAAAGTGAAGCAGAAAAGCGGAATTTGTTTTCTGCTGGTCTTTATATCTTTAGATGCTATATGGGTCATATTTTTTAATCTGCGCAGTGTTCTCTGCTATGTTTTTTTAATGTATTACATCACAAGTGGAATTGGTGAACAACATCATGGATCTCCTAATAGCCAATGACAGAATATAGCAAAGCATTATTTCATTAACAGTTTTTTAGTCTGTTTAGTTGCTTTTTTTCTCTTGAGAAATGATCCAAATTAATTAATTGCCGTTGTTGTTACTAGCATTGGCTAACCCCTCAACTATGTTAATCTATTGTATGCAATATTCGTAATTAGTATTTTGGTAGCATTCATGTTTTAAAAGTCTGGAAATGTAGCTTGTGTTCAAATATTGAACATGAATGAAAGGATTACAGTTTAATTTACTACTATAATTTGATTAGGTTTTCTCTGCAGTTTAAGAGCTTATCTTAGCAGTCAGAATTCTGAGAAAAAAGTCAGAATTCTGAGA